GCTGGGGGAAGCTGGCTCTTCATTCCACTTGGACGTAGATAGAAAAAACAGCAATGCCAAGACCCATTTAACAAAGGTCTCCCTCTGGAAATGTGAATATTTTGGGATATGGCTTTCACTTTTTTGTAATCATTTTTAGTAGCTCGACTTGATGGGAAGATGGGACAGTCGATTATGTAAAAGGAAATTTTGAAGATTAAAAACTATGGCCAAGGTCAACACATTGGAATTGCCCAACTGGATCTGACCATGTGTTCCATTCTGATTATTGTTCTTGCTTTGAGGTAAGGGTGGAGGCTCCCAATCACAGACCACATCCTCACTCTGCAAGGTGCTGTGCAAACACGTAACCCAAAGGTAGTCCCTGCCCTTAGGACGTTACAATCTAAGTACTCCAGGATCCTTTCTCCAAAAGTAGCCAGGACCAAATGCTTCAAAAGAAGATACAAGAAATCATGAAGGGGGCAGTTGTGGAATAACATGGCCATAGAGGCAGTTTCTTCCTAACTTCCTCAGGGAGAGGTTAGCTTTATTCCCTGGACCATTAGGTTTTACACTCCATTCAAATTATGACTTGTTTTATTATTGGTGGGTTTTCTTCATTTTTGTGTGTTTAATGCTGCCCAATGAAAGTGTGGATGCCTTCATAATGTCTATTCTCAGGTGAATGGGGTCATACTGTGCCTGAGAACAGATTTTGGCCTTCTATACGACAAAGAAAAGTCCGATTTGTGTTACTAAAAACACCTTAGATTATCCAGACAGGACTTTTAAAAATCAAGTGTACTTGCCTACATTTGTTCACCATTCACATTTCTGACAGTTTGGAAAATAAAACTAGACCAATCCCTCTGTCTCTCCCCTTCCCACCCCTTCCTTCCTCCCCCCACCCCCCTGGTTTCCAGTCAGTTTCACTTTCTAGTTCTCCTGCTTTAGCTGTTGTTTTTGGGCTCCTAGCTCTGACTATTTACATGCAAAAATTTTGTAACCAAGTTTGCTTTCACGTCTCTCCAAGGATCGCAACATCCTCTTCAGCAACACAGCCCTCCGGCTGTGCCACACACTGTGCTCCCCCTTCTGGGGGACCTGAAGTCCGCTGTTCAGCCACTTCCCTTAGTGGCTATTGCAGCAAATTGTCTGGCCACTTCCTCCTGGTTCCAGCATCCTCTTTGCCCTTGCCTCAGGGCCTCAACTGCAACATCCCAACAGCCAGCCAGGAGCTGTCTCTCGCTCCCCCGGTCCCTGTTAGCAGCAGTGCTCTGTCCAGGGTGCTGGCAGTTCTCTCAGCCCTCCAAAGACACAGTTCTTTCTCCCTGAGCTCCCAGCAGAGAACTGCCTTCCTCTGCCCTGCAGCTCCCTTCAGCCCTTCTCTGATTGGCTGTCTCCTCCACATCCTCCCTAGGGCTCTATTAACCCCTTATAGCCCAGTGTGAGGCAGGCACCCCATCACAGAGGTCTTGTACAGTGGGTGACGATGTAGAAACCAAGGATAGAACAATATAAATCAAGGAACAATGATCTGGTGGTTAGGGCACTAGCCTTGAGAAACCTATGTTCAACTCTCTGCTCCACCACAGATTTCTCTATGTGACATTGGCTACATTACTTAGCTTCTCTGTGCCTCAGTTTCCCATCTGTAGAGTGGGGTAAAAGCAATACCCTGCCTCATGGAGGTGTTGTGAAGATAAATATATTAAAGACTGTGAGGTCAGGTGCGCAGATACTATGGGAATGGGGGTCATATAAGTATCTAAAATAGAAGAATGTGAGACTGGAACTGAGTTTGGCTAACAATGTGTAGCCGAAGGTCCAGTGTGCTTCAACAGCAGCCCTGGGAACTACAAGTTGTGGATTGAAAAATGGGGCAATTTGGGAGAACTTCCGGGTTCCTTCCAGGATGTAACCTCTGCCCCCCACCAGCAGGAGGTCTCAGCACTGACTGAGCTGGGAGCACGTAGCAGGCAAGCAGAGAGGAGGCTGCTGGACTGTAATCCTGTTCTATGTCCTTTACAGAATAAAGCCTATTCCTGGTGGTTTGTCTGAGTGGCTCTGGTCTGAGGTGAACACACAACGCAGAGCACACAAAGGAGCCTCAGGTCCAGTTTCCCAAAGCTGTGTAAATAGTTGCAAGGCAGCCTTCCCCTATCTGGAACAACCTCATACTGGGGCCAGTGAACGGGGGGAACAAATGTTCCTGACAGTCACCACCCAAAGCCCATTGAAGTTGTTGGAAAGACTCATTAACTTCAATGAGCTTTGGATCAAGCCATTGATTTGCATTTATTTCTGCTCTAGTTGCTCTAGTACAATTAGTGTTCTGCTCTGTGATCTTTTCAAATACCAGCATAAACAATGTTTCTTTTTCAGTGCATAAACTCACACAAGAATAGAGAATTCATCTTGCCTGTTGATACGGCTTAACCGTAGTTGTATTATCACAGAAATAACATTGGGAGAATGAGGGAGACGCTAGTATAAGTCTGGGTGGTTTGGTCTGAGAAACAAAACAGCTTTACTTGGCCCATTGATAGCAGATGATCTGTGAATTTCCATTTTAATAGTAATTCTTTTTGTATGCCAGCCATTATGAAGTCACTACGTTAGGATAATGAACTTGATCGTTTCTAATAAATATAATAATACCCAGGAGCGCCTCCAGCTTTTCTGCCACCCTAGGCGGCGGAAGGTCCCACCCCAAAATGCCGCCCCCCACAAAGGTGGCAGAAGGTCCCACCGCCGAATACCACCGCGGTCGCCGCCCCCCAAATTGTAGCACCCTAGGCGACCGCCTAGGTCGCCTAATGGGTTGCGCCGGCCCTGATAATACCTAGTTCATATCTAGTCCTTTTCATCAGTAGATCTCAGTACACTTTACAAAAGGAGCCATCATTTCCCCCCATTTTACAGACGGGGCGCTGAAACAGGGAGCCGATGTGGTTCCTCCAAGGTCACAAGCGGGAGAATGGCAGAATCCCAGTCCAATGAGCTATTCGCTAAGCAACACTGCCATGCAGTATTGCATATTTAGAGGATTACCTGTGATCCATCTAGAAATACAGAACATCTTCTATGTATATTACATATGTATACACACGGATATGCATAGCTGGATTAATATATCTAGATCTTTATGGTGTCTCCTAATTTAGTGTTAGCGATCTTTGTGTTAAATGATGTCTTGCGGGGCCCCTCACCCCTTCTTTGTGACTCTGCCTGCCTTTTATTACTGAATGGTGGGTGGGGGAAGAGAGAGAAACGCTGAAATGCCTGAACACAGATTAAAATTCCCACTGTGAAATGCTAGATGCTGTTCCTTTCAGTTTGGCCTTGTCTAGGAGCTGATTCGTGCCTGGCATTTTCAGAGACAGTAAACTGTGCATTTAAAAATGACACTAATGATACAGATCTTGAATCCTGCTGCAGACAAAGGTCTTTTGTTCGCCATTTGTGGTGCCTCCTACTCTATTCCTTTGTAACATTGCTTTTTCCTCTTGCTGGAAGACTGAAGCCATTCTCTCTGTAGTTCTCAAACCTATTTCCTTCATGCAGAGACAGGCGTTTGGACTCTCACACGTCTGTCTGATTCATCAGCAATACAGACCAATTAATAAGTTAATTGGTGGTGAGTGGCCACTAGTAGAACTACAAGCCAGACATCTACTGTATTTCCAGAGCTAACACCCTTGGACTAAGCTAAAGGAGCAACTTCACGGAGCAGAGACTGTTTCTGATACCTTACTGAAACCATAATTCACAGTATCTTGGAAATTAGAATCATAAAATATCAGGGTTGGAAGGGACCTCAGGAGGTCATCTAGTCCAACCCCCTGCTCAAAGCAGAACCAATCCCCAGACAGATTTTTGCCTCAGATCCCTAAATGGCCCCCTCAAGGACTGAACTCACAACCCTGGGTTTATCAAGCCAATGCTCAAACCTAGTGGGTTATCAAACATCCCCCTACTAAAGCAAGATTGCTCCCTGCAGACAGCCAGGTTCTAAAATCTCAAGCAATGAAACTTTCTGCCACCTTCTATCTTCAGACTATTCTGCAATCTAACAGATTCTGCTACTGGGAATTATTTTCAATTTCCCTTTTTTTTTTTTTTTTTTTTGCAGTCTACATTTTCCTTTGCTGATGCAACATGCGTGCACACCGTGTGTTGTCTGCCTACTCTGATGACTAGATCTCGAAAAGGATAACAACCAATTGTTGCTGTTAACCTTAGCAAAGTTTGTGCCTTGGGGTTGGCTGTCCCGGGTTCAGATCTTGTTGATGATCACAAAGTGGTTGTTGCACTTAACTTTTAACCTATTGTAATTAGTTATGCTCATTCTAAGTCAGGGGTGGCCAACCTGTGGCTCCAGAGCCACATGCGGCTCTTCAGAAGTTAATATGCAGCTTCTTGTTTAGGCACCGACTTCGGGGCTGGAGCTACAGGTGCCAACTTTCCAATGTGCTAGGGGGTGTTCACTGCTCAACCCCTGGCTCTGCCACAGGCCCTGCCCCCACTCCACCCCTTCCCGTCCCCTCCCCTCCCCTCAGAGCCTCCTGCACGCCATGAAACAGCTAATCGGGAGGTGTAGGGAGGGAGGGGGAGGCACTGATCGGTGGGGCTGCCGGTGGGCGGGAGGCGCTGGCGGGGGGGGGGGGGGGGGGGAGGGCATATTACTGTGGGGCTTTGGCAATGTACATTGGTCAATTCTGGCTCCTTCTCAGGCTCAGGTCGGCCACCCCTGTTCTAAGTGATCCCACTGCTTATTTGATTGCTACATACTTCAAATACACGTTCACAATTATCATATATTGCTTTACTTTCAGGAAGATTGGTCACCATTGGTTTGTTCAAACAGGTTTGCTACACTTGAGTTGTGTAGTCTGGTTTTTATACTGTCACTAAAACGCATCAGTTTTCACCATGTTTACCTACAAGTCCTGGCTGTTTCCTCGTTCTTCTGTTTGACTCCTCTCTAACTAATTGTGACTGTTCCATCCATACAGATTATGTTGCTGACTGACCCGGAGATTGAAAGCAGTTTACTGATTAGCTCTGACGAAGGGGCCACGTATCAAAAGTACCGTCTGAACTTCTACATCCAGAGCCTGCTGTTCCACCCCAAACAGGAGGACTGGATTCTGGCATACAGTCTCGATCAGAAGGTAAGAAAAGATTTTGTGACCTTCTTTACCAATGATGTGGCGTTTTCCCTCCCAAGGGCCTAGACAAACATTTAGTGCTTGCTTTTTCTAGAGGGCCTCTGCACACACCATCATTATGACTTCATTTACACACCTGCAAGGTCTGTGACTATAAATCAGGTATTTACCGGCGGATGTCATAAGAACATAAGAACGGCCGTACTGGGTCAGACCAAAGGTCCATCTAGCCCAGTATCCTGTCTACCGACAGTGGCCAATGCCAGGTGCCCAAGAGGGAGTGAACCTAACAGGTAATGATCAAGTGATCTCTCTCCTGCCATCCATCTCCACCCTCTGACAAACAGAAGCTAGGGACACCATTCCTTACCCATCCTGGCTAATAGCCATTAATGGACTTAACCTCCAGGAATTTATCCAGTTCTCTTTTAAACGCTTTATAGTCCTAGCCTTCACAACCTCCTCAGGCAAGGAGTTCCACAAGTTGACTGTGCGCTGTGTGAAGAAGAACTTCCTTTTATTTATTTTAAACCTGTTGCCCATTAATTTCATTTGGTGGCCCCTAGTTCTTGTATTATGGGAACAAGTAAATAACTTTTCCTTATCCAGTTTCTCCACATCATGTCAAGTTTGGTAACATTTGCACCCTCAATGATCATTAATGGTGGGGAGTTGTTTGAGGGGAACAGGGTTGTGCCCCCAAACATGGAAAATGGGTTTAGGGTTTGGCTCCAGATTAGATCCTTCATTGTGTTCTCTTCTTTTTAACTAATGTTGTTGCCAGGACAGTAGCCTTAATAATGTGTGAAGCTGTTCAGTATAAGTACTTGGATAATGGTACACAATATGGATGTATTTCTTGGCCCTCAAAACAAATGGTGATACCATCCTTGCTTCAGAATAACATACAGTTCTTCTTGCTCCTGCCTGGTTGGCACATTATAAACCAGATGATGATTGTCCAAGGAAGAAAATAAGTGAATTGAATTCCTTTTGGAGTCTGCTTCTGTTGGTGCAGATCATGTCATGGCTACAGAAACATGCCCAAACGTTTCAAAAGCATCTAGTGCAGGGGTCAGCAGCCTTTCAGAAGTGGTGTGCCGAGTCTTCATTTATTCACTCTCATTTAAGGTTTCGCGTGCCAGTAATACATTTTAACGTTTTTAGAAGGTCTCTTTCTATAAGTCTATAATATATAACTAAACTATTGTTGTATGTAAAGTAAATAAGGTTTTAAAAATGTTTAAGAAGCTTCATTTAAAATTAAATTAAAATGCAGAGTCCCCCAGACCGGTGGCCAGGACCTGGGCAGTGTGAATGCCACTGAAAATCAGCTCGCGTGCCGCCTTTGGCACCCATGCCATAGGTTGCCTACCCCTGATCTAGTACTTTTGGATACCTCAATTTTTGGATCAACTTGAGACCCCTTAAAGGGGCCTGATTCTCCCAGTAATTTCTGAAAAATGAAGGCATCAGTAATCACTAAACTTGGGCCTGATAAATATTTAAAATTGGACACCTTGACAGACAGTGCTTGTTCAGATTGGTGTGCCAATCTAAATCTCAATGTAATGTAGAGCTTTACATTCCTGTGTTCTCTCACCACAGGAGCATCTCCTTGTGGCCAGGTGTGGCACAGCAGCTGACTTTCACTCTGGCAACCCCTGCTGAAAGTCACTCCTTCGCTGTGGTGGTCTCTGCTCTGTACCTTGGCCCTCCACCCCGGTCACGATATTAATGTCTGCCCCTGTTGGGGTAACAAAGTTCAAGAAACAAAAGTCCAACGGTTAATTCCGAGACCTTGTGTCAGGTCTCTGGCCTCTGGTTCTGGGCTCATGCCACTTTGCCAGTGACTGATAGGGGAAGCCAGGCCCTTCTTACACTGGGTTCAGCCCAGGGACCCTTACTGTCAGCCTAGGTTTGCAGTGTCCCATCCCTTGCTGCTATTTCCCTGGGCTTCTTCCGACCCAGCCTCTCTCAGGCTTTCTTCCATGCAACGTCTCTGGGTTGATCCTTCTTTCAGGGCTGGAATCCTAGTGCTTATTCTCCACCCTGGATGTCCTCCTCACCACTTCTCCGTTTCCAAAGAGTGACTGCAGACTCCCGACCTGCAGCCCCCTTCTGCTACAAACTTCCTCTCATTATAACAACCAGCCTGCTCCTGCCCACTTGGGCTTCATGATCAGTCAAGCCTGGCTTTCCCTCCAGATGCAGCCAGGGAACAGAACTGGATTTTCACATCCACAGTAACCCATTCAGGGATTGTGTGGGGTACATAGCCCATCATAAGCACCTTCCATTCAAGACTTTCAATGTGGTTTCCAAACATAAAAGAATTAATCCTCCCAATACTTGTATGATATATGTAGGTATATATTATTATTGTGAGCTTGAGGAAATGGTGTCTTGGGGCTGGTTTACACTGACCTAGCTACATAGCTCTGGGGTGTGAAAAATCCATCTCCTTGAGCGACGTAGTTAAGCCGACTTAAGTTGCTGTGTAGACAGAGCTACGTCAAGGTGGAGGTGGGTTACTTACACTGACAGGAGAGCCCCTCCCATCAGTGTAGGTAGTGTCGACCTACCTACCGCTGTAGCATTTCACATGTAGACGAGTCCTTAGGGTTGCTAAATGACTTGCCTAAGGTCACTAATGAAGCTTAAGGGAATATTGGGAATAGAAGTTAAGACCTGTGCTTAACCAGAAAACCAATCTCCTTCCAAGGTTGTAGCCTAATGTCCATACAAAATTAAAATTTGAGTAAATCTATTCTGCCTACCTAAATTTCCTCTGTAGTCTCAATCCGATACGGTGTTCCTCACTTGACTCTTGTCTTAAATTGTTGTTATAGTGTGTGCTGCAGCCATGTTCCATCCAAGGTTTCATTCTAGTGGGAACTGAAATGATTCCTGGATACTGTATATGTAAAATAGGAAGAGCCAAAATTCTGCCCATATTTATGGCCAAAAAACACCACTGAAGTCATTGCACAGGTGCAAATGAGGACAGGATTTGGCCTCTAGCATGTTAAGCATGTTGGGCCCTTTGAGATGAAAGGAATTGCATCATTGTAATACACTAATAATTGATGAAGATCAATGCTGCTTGTAGTAGTGAATTTCCCATTTTGAAATAGGGGATGGGAGGAATATAAATGTCTGTTGGTGCTTTAGCCAGCCTGCCAAGGTCAGTGAAGATCCTGAGTTAGACAATTTATAACTAAGTTTCACTGGATTTATGGTGCGCAGCCCCATAAGGGGACAAAGCCAGACAGCTGGAGACATAATTTCCTAGTTCCAGCAGGCAAATGATCTCTACTCAGTTATTCCATGAGTAATTGATATTGCTTTATTTTACAGGGCCACAAAACTGCCTGAAAATATGAACTCAGGCTTTTTGGAGGGCCCTGAGAGGTTAGATGGGATGATGGGGTTGGTCAGGATGGCCAAGTTTATCTGGGTTTTATGTGGGAGGCTGCTTGAAGGAGCTTTATCTAAACAATATTTCAGAGAGTAGTGAATGTGATCATTATTGGCGATTAGAATATTATGTTACCTAGGATGAGTTACAACTCTATGCAGAGGGCTGGCACAAAGCCACTTAGGTCCCACTTAAAGGCCTCAGAAATGGAGCTTATGTGGGACTTAGCAATGTCCTATACCCTGCATAGGGGTGAACTACGGCCTTGGGTCCTGATCCTAACCCTATTGGAGTGTTTCCCTTGACCTCAGTGGGCTTTGGATCAGCCCCTTTGAGGGTAACTGATAAGCACAAAGTATAAATCAACTTGGAATAAATAAAACTAAAGGGTCAAGTTCTCCCTGTGGCTGAGCAGACATGGTCCCTGGTGGTTTCATTTCTCCAGGCAGAATTTGGCCTGGAGTAACTGTGATCCTGCAGGTTTTTATATTTATTACTATGGAAGTCACGGAGTAGTTCACAACACATGACTGTCACTTGGTCTTTTGAGACCTTGTGCTAAGGCTGTAGTAATGACGAGAGAACCCCAATAGTCATTAGTTGCAATCTAGCATAAGGTTATTATTGACCAAGAGTTCCCCTAGCAACCCAAAATGTAGACAGCTGCGTGGTGGCCAACTTGAACTAAATTTGCCGTCCGAGTTTGTTTTCTAGTAGACAGGTTCCTGGCATCACAAAACCCCAATCGGTAGTCACATTCATTTGCACCCTGGTTGCAGAAGAGAGACCAAGGCTTCAAGGAACCTGGAGAATGAACAGGAAAGGAGACTGAATTAACATGGACACTGAACCATTCCTCCCCTGGAGGCATTTCCTCCAGTTGAAGACTTAGGTAGACTGCCTGGGCACTGTGGGGGAGCTTACACCGCTCATGCTGTGACTCTTCTCTGGGCAGAGGACTTTAGTTTCCAGGGCTGACAATCCAGTGCCTTTTACACACATTAACTTGACAGATTTTAGAGAGAGTATCAGAAAACCAGCTGCTGCCTGCTCCAACTGCTCTATGATTACATTCATTTTTCCAGCTGAAAGTACAGTCGCTCCGTGGTGAACCCCCACCACATAATCGCAGAGCCAGTATGTGATTCTCCATTTTCTGAATAAGAAAAGTTACCTATCAGAAGAAAACTCCAGATACAGTAAAACAGTGCTAGGGACACACAAGCTCGTTGTACGTTTTAATTATGGTGGGTTTAATCAGCTGTCTCCTACGGTAAGAGGCTGTTTTGTGGGCGTGTTACCTGTTTCTTTTTGCTATATAGTCTTAAATAGTGGTTTGCGGTGTAATTAGGGGCTGGAAAATAAGAGCCTCCACTTCATGCAGAGTCTCCTTCCCCTGTTCAGATGGGTCAGCCACACAGAGACAATGACTAATACTCATCCCTGAATCGCTGAGCTCTTTGGAGTGATGAAATGCAGGTGGGACCGGGAGGTGTAAGTGATGTGGGGGGAAATGTAGAGTCCTAATTGCACAGCTCAGAAGAAATGTCTAAATGCACTCAAGTGTTGAGCAGCACCAGCA